CTACGACACAAGGAGAGAAATGAGATACATGACGAGAGAAAGAGAGAGAGAGAGAGAGAGAGAGAGAGAGAGAGAGAGAGAGAGAGAGAGAGAGGGAGGGAGAGAGACTGAGAGAGAGAGAGACCCTCTAATGGCCACCTATATATAGACACCTCTTAAAACAGCAAAAGACCCCACCAGCGTCTTAAACTAGCTACACCTGTATTGCTGAATCATCCTCATTGCATCAGCTTACAGTTCACAGCTTACAACATTACATCAACTGGCAGCTATTAAATCCTCAGTACCTGACATTACAGGTGGTCCTTGACTTGCAACCCATTCGTTCAAATGGTACTTACAAGCCAGTGGTTCAAAGCTGCGATGGCACTGAAAGCAACTTACAATTGTTTTTCACACTTATGACCATTGCAGCATTCCCCATGCTCGCACGATCAAAATTCAGTCCGCTTGACCATGGACTCACATTTATGACAATTCCAGTGTCCTGGGATCATGCGATCCCTTTTTTGCGACCATCTGACAAGCAACATCAACAGGGAATCCAGATTCACCTAACAACGGTGCGGCTTACTTAACACCTGCAGCGATTTACTTAACCACTGGGGCAAGAAAGGTTGTAAAATGGGGCAAAATTCACTGAACAAACGTCTCGCTTGACAACAGGGATTTTGGGCTCAGTTGTGGTCTTAAGTCGAGGACTACCTCTTTAGCAATTTCTAAATAAACTCACCTTGCGGCTTCTGTGACCTGATCCCTTTTAGAGAATGATGACCTCTACAACGGCTGCTACAATTTGAGTCTTAATCATCATCATCTTCTTCTTTTAATGGCCCCATAATCCCTCGCGGGATGGAGTCTGGGCAACTGAATAGAGTGTTTACTGGCCAGATGCCCTTCTTGTCACCAGTACAGAGTTTTGTTCAGCAGATATATTCTCATTGTGCCCAGAGAGAGAAATATCTGCCTCTATCCAGGATCAAACCTCCTGATTGTGAGGCCAGAGTGCCACCTCTAGACCACTGTACCACCCTACAGTTTGAGTCTTAATGTCATTCACAAAATATCTATTGGCTTTTTCTTTTATTAACAGGGAATTGTTGGGTCTGAATTCTTCTGACATTATGTGGGGTCTTTCTGATCCTGGCTGGGTAAAATTTGCCATAGGATCTTTCTACTCTACTTGGAGCCAAGGATCGTGTATATTTCAACATGGCTCGCTCCAGTTCGATCCCAAAGTAGTTTTGGAGGTAAGAATTCAGGTGCCTTGTTTGAAAAGTCCCATACAGGTAGACAGTGATTCTCCCTAAAGCTACATATAATTTCAAGGTTGTCTCAGCCTTCCAAGGTGGGTAAAATGGGGATGCAGATTGTTGGGAGCAATAGGCTGACTCTGCAAATTGCTTAGAGACGGCTGTAAACCACTATGAAGCGGTATATAAGTCTGCTATTGCTTGCAAAAAAAGGAAGGAAGGAAGGAAGGAAGGAAGGAAGGAGGGAGGGAGGGAGGGAGGGAGGGAG